CTCGGCGGCGGCGGCATCGTCGGCGGCGGCGGCAGCGGCGGCATCGTCGTCGGCGGCGGCAGCGGCGGCGGCGGTGCGCCGCTCGCCCCGCGTGGCCGCAGCCTCCGCCTCGTTCGGCGGCCGCGCCAAGCCCGCGGGGCAGCAGGGCGGAGCGGCGCGCAGGGCGCTGCCGGGGGCACGGTCACCCGAGAGCCCCGCCAAGCGGCGCCTGGCGGTACAGGCACCCCAGCAGCAGCAGTGCAGCGTCGTCGCCATCCCGCGGAGCAGGGAGGTGGGGCAGAGCTTCCTGTCCAGCGTCCCAACCACGCTCAAGGCGCTGTGGGCGGCAGGTGCGCTGCCTTCCCTCTCTCTGCTGCCTGCTGCCCGCTGCCCGCTGCTGCGCCTGCTGCTGCTCGCCCGGCTGGGAGACCGCCGCTGCCGCCTCCCGCCCACCCCCTTCTCCTCTCCCACGTTGCTGGGCTGTTGGGCGCGTTTCGCATCCCCTCGTCTTCCCTCTCCACCTCCCGCCCACCTGCCCCTGTGCTGCTGCAGTGGCGGTGGTACTGGACCACCAGCCAGACCTTGTACTGATGAACGGGCCAGGCACCTGCATCCCGATCGCAGCAGCAGCCTGGCTGTTCAGGTGCGCAGGGCCCGCAGGCGGGTTCAGGGGGCCGGCACGGATTTTTGGGGGGTGCAGGGCCGTGCTAGCCGCTGCAGGCGGGTGGGCGTGCGCATTGGTGCAAGTGCTTCGCCAGCCGCTCAGCACGGCTGCTGTGCTGCCCTGTACCGCTCCCGCAGGCTGCTGGGCGTCTGCGGCGGCAAGGTGGTGTACGTGGAAAGCATCGCCCGTGTGTACCGCCTGTCCCTGTCAGGTACTGCTGGGTGGTACCGCAGCACGGCACACCTCCTGCTTGCAAGCTTACATGTGGTGGGGCAGGGACTGCTCCTCCTCCTGTGCTGGGCAGGAGCGCACACCAGGCGCTGGTACCCGGTCCTGTGCCGCCTGCCACTGGCACCCACCCCCTGGGCTGCTTCTCCCTGTCTCTGCCTCTGCCTCTGTGCAGGCAAGATCCTGTACCACGCCCGCCTCGCCCACACCTTCTTCGTCCAGGTGAGCCTCTCACCCGCAGTCAGTCAGGCAGCAGGAGCGCAGAGCCACGCTGCAGCGTGTTTGATGCGGCAGGGCCACGCTGCAGCGCATCTGATGCATCCCGGCAGGGCAGCTCCAGTGTGCTGACTGCTGGGGACGAGGCAGCTTGCAAGCAGCCCACGGGGAGCAGCAGCACACGGGGCATGCTTGGCTGCTGACCGGGTCGCCCGCCTGCCCCTGCAGTGGGAAGAGCTGCTGCAGCGGTACCCGCGGGCGACCTATGCCGGCAGGCTCATGTGAGCCGAGAGGCGTGGCGGGTGGCAGGGCTGGGCAGGCGCGCGCATGCGCCGCTGCGCTCGCTGCTGCAGGTCAGCCTAGCCAGGCATGTGTTGTAACGACGTCACCGCAAAGCGTGCATCAACACAGAGGGCGATGAAACAACACTGGTGTTCCCGTGCAGCAGTGTGCCAACTGCGCCGGCCACTGATCGCAAGATAGGGCAGCCGGCGCTACGGCAGGCCCAGCGCCGAGCGCAGCTGCCGCATGCCCTGTGTCGCCGCCTGCCGCACCCCGCGCTCCAGCCCCCGGCAGCTGCTCACATCAATCGTGAACGCCTGCCTGCCCTGCCCGCCGCCGCCGCCGCCGCCGCCGCCGCTGCCTGTGCTGCTGCCTGCGCGGCTGGCCTCCACCTCGGCCGCGTGCCGGTCGGCAGCCAGCAGCAGCTGCCGCACGCCGCCCGTGGTGACGGCGGTGCCTGCACAGCATCGAGAGGAAAGAAGGTAGGCAGCAAAGGAGAAGTGGCAGGCCATTTTTGCGCAAAGCCACAGCAGGGCGTGGGCAGGGCTGGAGCGGCGCCTCACCCGCCAGTCCCACAGAGTGCAGGCGGGGGCAGCGCGCCAGCGCCGCCGCAGCCGCATCCGTGATGCGGCCCCCTCCCCAGCTCAGATCAACCGCCTCCAGGGTGGGCCCAAACCTGGGTGCGGGGCAGGCAGTGGGGCGGGGCAGCGGGGTGGGGGTGGCGGGTGTACAGTGTGGCGAGCAAACAGACAGGCAGTCAGGCAGGGATCTCATACAAGGGTAGCAAACAATGCAAGGTAGAACGGCTGGGCACAGAGCTGCACAGCACTGCATGGCGCAGCGCGACGCAGCACAGCACAGCGCTGCGCAGCGCAGCACAGCGCACGCAGCGAGCCACCTGTCTGCCAGGAAGGCCACCGCCTCGTCGCAGCAGGCGCCGCTGCGCGCCAGCAGGGCGTGCCTCAACGGGGCGGCTGCGGGCGAGGGGGGGCGGCGGGTGGGGAGCAGGCTGGCCCAACGTGTGAGTCCTTGCCCCCCACCCAGGTTTGCAAGGGAGCAGTCCCGACTTGCCAGCTCCAAATGAACCTTCACTGCAGACCTGCTGGCCCCTCTGGGCTACGTCGCTACATTGCATGCAGCGCCCGACCTCCCTTCTATGCTAAAAATAGAAGGCTTCCTAGACACAGAAGGCCCCCCCTTAGTGGCCTGCCCCCGCCCTCACCCCACCTGGGTGAATGGCGGTGGCAAGGCAGTCTGGCGACAGCCGCTCGCACCCACCCACATCCAGCTCCTCCAGCAGCGGCGAATGCGCCAGCAGGCTGCATGCGCGTGCGCATGCGAGGTGGGGGGTGCGGTCGACACACATACACATGGCGCCAAGGGGAGCGGCGAGGGCAGGACAGGATGTGCTCCAAGCAGGCTGCCGTGCTGCCATGCTGTCATGCGGGCATGCTGCCATGCTCATGCTGTCATGCTGAGCCCCATGTGTGCCCTCTCCTTCGTGGCACGCCGCCCCTCCCGCTGCCAGCGCCAGGCTCCACCGCCAGCCGCTCACCGCGTCAGGCAAGCGTCGTTGACGTTGGTGGCACCGGTGCCCAGCCCCGCCATGTCGGGATTGGATTTGGCGGCCACCTGGCGGAGCAAGAGCGGGGAGGGGAACGTGGGAGCAGAGGGAGCAGAAAGAGCATGGAGGGGAAGGGGGAGCAGTGCCGTCAGAAAGGCTCAAAGCAGCAGGCAGCAGCAGGCGCTGAGCGCGCTGTGCCCAGTCAGGCACGATCCGAGCAAGCTGGAAAGCGGAGCAAGCTGCACTGCCGCCCCTCGCCCCGCACACCTGGCACACGCGAAGCAGCGGGAAGCCCGGCGGCGGCGCCCCGGGCGGCAGCTGGCTGGGGGTGGCGTTGAAGCTCCAGGCGTAGGCGCCGCACAGCCCGTTGAGGCACAGCCGCTGCAGGCTGGGGCAGCTGCAGGAGAGCGCAGGCAGGCGGACAGGGCGGCGGGCGGGCAGGCAGGAAGACAGGTAAGGAGGCAGCGCGCCAGTTGGCGGCGCAGACACGTTTGCTGGCCGGCAGGGCAGGCTCTGCAGGCGGCGATGGCACTGCAGGTACCGTGCAGCCCAGCCTGGGGCGCCACCTGTACTGCAGCCGCTCCAGGTTGATGGCGAAGTCGCTGCGCGCGCCTGCATGGCAGGAATTCAGATTGACGTTGAGTCCGCAGGCGCTTGTTGAGTCCGCAGGCGCTTGTGGGGAACACGTGAGCAGGTGGGGTTGACGGCAGCAGGCGCAGGAGCAATGGGAGGGCGAGCGACCTTCATGTGCGGCGCCGATCCCACCACCACGCACATGCACACCACACCGGCCCACCTGCTGACTGTGACAGGTTGAGGTGGCGCAGCGCGGCCAGCAGCGGGCGCCCCGCCTCCGCGCTGGCCTCGGTCGCCGCCCGCAGGCCCTGGTGCGTCAGCAGGGGGCACCCCTCCACAACCAGCTCCTGCAGGGGGATGGCGGGGTGGTGACCAGGAGAGCCAGGGTGCAGTGTGTGCCCACACGCACCCACTATGTGTGGGTGCGCGTGGGTGCGCAGAGAAAGCATGCCACAGGCCCCGCTACTGACCTCCAGCACGGGTCCTCCCGGGTTCCGCGCCTGCTGCGCCAGCACCTCCCGCACCACCAGGTCCAGCCCTGACACTTTGGGGCTGACCTGCGAGTGGGAGGGAGGGAGGCAGGCGTGCGGTGGGGGCCCATGCAGCTCTCACCCCCGCGGGTGGGAGGGAGGGAGGGAGGCGGGCAAGAGCAGGCGCGTGGAGGGAGGACAGCTGGGTGCGGGTGCGCCGCAGCGAGCCGAAGACACACACAGGCGCAGACATGCACATGCATCCGCCCGCCCCAGCCAAACAGGGAGACCACCAGCCACCCTCTCTGCCGCTGCCGCTGCCCCAGCAGCCTGCCCCGTGTCACCCACCTGGATGAACGACAGGTCCAGGCGCCTGAGCGGCGCGCTGCTGCCGTCTGGCGCCGCCGGGCGGAGCAGCATGGTGGAAAGGGCGGCGCACAGGCCGCGGTCGCTGAATTGGGTGCAGTGGGCGAGGCTGAGGGAGGCCAGCAGGGGGCAGCTGTCCGCGACCAGCTGCAGAGGACAGCAGGTACAGCGGGCAGGGCGGGAGGCATGGGAGGTTGGTGGGGAAGACGGCGCGATGCCGGCGCTTTGCAAAGACAGGGCTCGTCACCAGCGCTGCACAAGCAGGATTTGGAGCGGACATGAACGGCGAGCAGCAGAGGGCTTGCCTGCAGGCCGGCGTCGCTGACGGCGGCCCTGCCCGCCAGGCTCAGGGAGGTGAGGTGGGCCCAGCGGGGCGCGGCGCGGGAGATGGCGGCGTCGCTGGGGCGGCACCGCCGCCAGGACAGGTCGACGTGGCGCCAGATGTCTGGGCACGCCAGCGCCGCTGCTCTCCAGGACCGGGAGACGCACGTGGCTGCGAAGAGGGGGCAGGGAGGAGATGGGTGGGGTATCATGAGGCAGGGAGAAGGTGGAGTAGCAGGGAGCGCCACAGGGCCAATGCCACTGGAGCCAGGGGCCAAGTGGGATGCCAGATGGCCTCCAAAGCGCTCCCACACACCTGCGGCTGCTGTGGGGATGGCGCCGCCCGCTTCTGGGGCGCAGGCCAGGCGCAGGATGGCGCACAGGACCTCTTCCGGCAAGTGTACTGCCGGTACTGTAGGCGCCGCTGCGGCGGCGGCGGCGCCCGCAGCGCCTGCCGCCGCAGCGCCTGCTGGCGACCCTGGGCTGCCCGCCCCCGACAGCCGGCGCTGCTGCGCGTGCAGCTGGCGGCGGCGCTGCGCCAGGGGCACGTCTTCGTCTGCCGCGGCGCGCTGCGTGCCTGCTCCCGCCGCGGCGGCGGCGGCGGCTGCCGGGCGCCTCCCGGCGGGTCTGTAGTCCTCGTCCTCAGAGCTAGCCTCCAGCGCGATTCCCAGCAGCCCCACCGTGCGCCTCTGGCGCTTGGTGGGGGCGCTGCGAGGCCTGTGGTGGCCCTTGGGAGCCATGGGGAGCTGCCTCAGGCTGTCGGTGTTTGCCAGTGGCTTGAGTGCTGCAACTGCAGATAAATTCAATCCCCCTGGGGGCCAGGAGCACCGATGAATGAGACCTCCATGCAGCCCCTGCCAGCGAGGCCTTCTTCCCTTCATGGCTCCTCCTCCCACGCTGCTCTGCTTTGCTTACCCCTCCAATTCAGCAGCGGCACTTGTGTTCCGCTCCGGCCTCCACTAGAAGCAACTCGCAGCCGAAGCGGCAGTCAAAAGATGGTGAGTGGCGGGGCATCGCGGCGCCAGGCTGCCCTGGCCGGGCCCCTGTGCCCTGTAGGTTTGCGGCAGCATGCCAACAGGGCCGCAGACGGGGAACCACCAGCTGGGATCGCATTCAAATCGGCCTTGCGTGCCAGGCCGGGCCACACGCCTGCACCGGGGCGGCACCAGCGGGGTGCTGCCACGCGCCACAGCCTCCCCCGCTCGCCCCGCCACCCAGCCAGCCAACCCCGCCTTGCACGCCCACCGCGCCGCCGCCGCCCCTGCAGGCGACCGGCCTGACCGCGCAGAGCTACCGCAAGGCCGTGACCACGGCGCGGCGCGACAAGAAGGCGGGCGGCGGACCCAAGGGGCTGACCGAGGAGCAGAAGCAGGAGATCCGGGAGGCGTTTGACCTGTTTGACACAGACGGCAGCGGCACCATCGACGCCAAGGTGGGTGCTGGAAAGCACGGCGTAGCCGGACGCGCCGGGCGCTAGGCGCTGCCGACGATCTGAGACAGGGCCGCCAGCAGCGGCCCCGGCCTTGCGCCTCCAACCTCGCCAGCCCCACCACCAGCCCCGTCTCCCCACCCGCTGCGCCTCCCTGCGTGCCGCCCGCAGGAGCTCAAGGTGGCCATGCGGGCGCTGGGCTTTGAGCCCAAGAAGGAGGAGATCAAGAAGATGATTGCCGACATCGACAAGGACGGCTCCGGCACCATCGACTTTGACGAGTTCCTGCAGGTGGGGAGGAGGCGGGGCTGCGCGGATGTGGTGGCCTCCCCTTGACAGATGTTGCCCGCTTGCCCCAATGCCATTCGCCGGCGGTTCTTGCGCGCGCACTCCCCGCGGCGCCCACGTCACCACGCACCGGCCCGCCACCTCCACCCCACCCAACCACCCACCCCCGCAGATGATGACAGCCAAGATGGGCGAGCGCGACTCATCAGAGGAGATCATGAAGGCGTTCAGGTGGGCGCGGGTGGGGTGGGCGGGCGGGCGAATGCACATTCAGGGGTGGGGTGGGGGGCAGCTGAGCAGCATCAGCCTGCGCTGTGGGCCTGCCGCTGTCCACAGCCTTGCCGCGCCGCTCTGCCGGCCCTCCATCTTCACCGCCACCACAGCAGCACCCCACGACACACACCCACTGTGGACACCATGCACACGACCACAACCCACACACCCACCTGTACTGCCCCGCCTGTACCGCCGAGTGCCGCTGCACAGGCTGTTTGACGATGACGAGACGGGCAAGATCAGCTTCAAGAACCTGAAGCGGGTGGCCAAGGAGCTGGGGGAGAACATCAGCGACGAGGAGCTGCAGGAGATGATCGACGGTGAGGGGGGCGGGGCAGTGGGCTGTGTGCCTGGGGCGGCGTGCCTGGGGTGGCGTGTGTGGTGCTAGGTGCCAGCTAGGTGGCAGCTGCGTGGAGCAGGCACAGCCATGGAGGCGGCCGCTGGGCCTGTTTCGGCGGCCAGCGAGCTGCCCGCGTGACCCTGCCCTCGCCGCCTTGCCTGCCTGGCCTGCCCTGCCGCAGAGGCGGACCGCGACGGCGACGGCGAGGTCAACGCGGATGAGTTCATGAGGTGAGGGTGAAGACGAGGCATGGGAGGAAAGGAAGGGCAGCAGCCACACACGCCCGGGCTGCCCAGCCTGCGGGTGTTGAGGGTGTGAGGACTCGGCCCCTCGCCAGCCCCAAATGCGCACTCCACGCCCACCCTGTGCGGTGCCCTCTTCTCCACACGCAGGATCATGCGCAAGACCAGCCTGTTCGGCTAGGCCCGCAGCTAAGGCCCCGCGCAGGCCGCCCCCTGCTCCTCCGCCTGCGGCAAGCAACGCCGCGCAGGCCGCTGGCCAGCTGCGCATCTCATGCGCCTCAACTCAACGGCGCCCAGTGGGCAGCCGGGCGAGCGGCCTCTGCGGGACTTGTACTTTCCTGTGCTCCCCCTCTCCTCGCTGTATTCGCTTTAGTTTCCCCTTTAGGCAGGTTCCTTTCTCTTTCCTCTAGGCTCCCCCCACTCCCCAGCTTCTTCCCTACCCTATCCAACCTCGCCACGTCAGCGCCGCAACAGGCGCCGAGAGATTCCTGACCGCAGCAGCTCAGCAACGCAGCTGGCCCCTGTGACCGAACGACACTTGAACAGAACAGGGCCATTATGTCAGGGGCTGGGGCCAGGAAGGCGATGAGACATGGAAGCGGGAGATGTGAATTGCCGCCGCCACCCGTTTTCTGCCGTGCCTGTCCACCTCCCCGCTCCCCTGCATCCTGCCTCCCGCATCCTGGATGCGTCAGTGGGCAGCCATGTGTCGCCGCCTGTCGGCCACACTTTGAAACGAAAGGTTTCTACCCAGCAAGAAGGTATAGGGCAGCGAAGCACCCCCTTCGTCCACCCAACACCAGCCACCTGAGCATATCCCATCCACCATGCTGCGCTGCTCCCTTGCTGCCAGCCTCAGGGCGGGGCAGCCAGCCTCCTGGTGCACGCAGGCCAGCCGCCTGCTGGGCAGCTCTGCCCCGGCTGCCGCTTCAGCAAAGGATGCAGCGGCTGCTGTGGCCGCCCAGGTGGCAGAAGCCGTCCAAGGTTTGCTGTGGGCACATGGCGACGCCGCTCTGCTGACCGCCACGCATGCCGCCCCACCGCGCCCGCCCCCAGCCGCAGCGCCAGTCTCTCTTTGCAAGTGCGCAAGTGCTCGCACCCTGTCGCGGCTTGCAGGCGGCGCCAGCAGCACCAGCGCTCCCGAGAACCCCGAACCCGCAGGCAAGCCGGCACCCAGCCCGCCACAGCCCCGGCCCTGCGCCCAGCTGCCGCTGAGCCATCGCCGCCGCCGTGCCTCTGCATTGTTGTGCAGGGCAGGGCCAGCCGGTGACCCGCGATGAGCTGCCGCAGTCCGACCACAGCGAGCGGCTGTTTGCTGGAGGTAAGGGGTAGCCTCTTGGATCTCCAAGGGGACAGGTAGGAGTGCGGCCCATGGTGGCGCTGGAGCAGCGGCTGCTACTGCTGCTCCAAGTTTGATACCGCAAAACCTGGAGGCTGGCTGTGGCACGGCCTCTCGTGGCTGGCCGCAGGCGCCGACATCCCGGCGCTGATGCCGGAAGAAGACTTTGCCGGCGGGCTGGGGCGGCTGGAGAGGGCAGGTGGGCGCAGAGGGCAGGTGGGGTGTGGCACGGCCGGCAGGGAGCCTACAGGTCCCCACTGTTGCGGCCCTTTTGCCTGCCTTTCCTGGCCTGCCCTGCAGACAACGAGGCGGCGGCGGAGGCCCCACAGACCACCTACAACGAAGCAGGTGTGTGGCACCAGGGGCCTGCCGGCGGCAGAGTGGAATCGCCCAGCTGGCTGGGTGCCGCCAGGGGAAGCAGGGCCGAGCACTGGGCTGTCCACCTGCCGCTGTCCTGAGCCTGTCCCAGACTGCCACCCCGCTGCCGCCCTGCAGACCCCGAGCAGGCAGGCAAGGTGCCCCAGAACCCGCGGGGGCTGGAGGAGGACTTTGAGGACAGCAGCTTCCGGGGCGAGTGAGGCAGCAGGGGTGGCTGGCCCAGCCAGCCACGGGCGGCCACGCTGGCGTGGGGGCCAAACAACAGGAAGCAGCAGCGGGCCTCAACTCAAGCGCTGCTCCCTCTTTCGGCTGTCGTTGTTGTTACAGTGGCAGTGAGGTTCTGAAAAAGGAATGTGCGGGGTTCGTGCGATGGGGCTTGTACAGTCGGGCTGGCGTGTGAGGCACTAGGGTACGGTGCGGTGAGGTGGGCGGACCGCCAGCGAGCGGCGCCACCCAGGTGCTAGCCTAGGTGTGAGTGCAGTACGTAGGAGCAGCCGGCGGCAGCCATGGGGCGGCGGCCATGGCCGGCACAGCTGAAAGGGCGCAGCGTGGGGGTAGCTGACAAGACACGAAATGGGGAATGCTTGCAAGGGGGCGAGCGGCAAGTGCGGCAAGGCATTCTGCCTGCAGACCGCAGGCGGAGAAACGCGGGAAAAGGGGGTTCGAGGCGCGGTTCGCTTCGCGAGCAGCTGCAAGCAATGTGTATATGGGGCATGTGGAGGCGTGGGGAGCAGGGAGAGGAGGCACACGGGTGTGCGCCAGGGGGCCGCGGCGGCATATCGGAGAGGACGGCGCCAGGCGCGGGCTCCCACAATAGAGGGAGCCCGCCCGGCGCCGGCCGCCCGCCGCAGGCCCCAAGGGTGGCCTGGCACATGGGAGGCCGGTGGGGTGGGAGGGGGCAAGGCAAAGTAGGCAGCAGCGGCCTGAAATTGCAGTGCAGGGGCGGGAGCATAAGGGAGGGAAGCGTCGAACCCTAGGGACAAGCAAAAAACAAAACGGTAGTGGCGGGCGCGCCAGGCTGGGCTGGGGCGGTGGCGGCGGCGGGTGAAGTGTCAAGCAGGGTAGCGTGCCGCGGAAAGGGTGGAGCCGCGCGAGCGCTCGCCGCCCAAAGCCAAGCCTGGCGGGTGCGCGTCAAGCAGCCGCGCGCGCGTCGGCAGGCCGCGGCCAAAGAGCAGGGGGACGGGCTCTCAAGCGCGGCGCATGCTCCGGCGTCTAGCGGCTATAAAGGGAGCGGGTGCGCGCCTAGGCCTGGGCCGGCTCTCCCAGCTGCGCCTCGGTGAAGGTCCCGAAGCCCGCCTCGCCTTCCTGGAGGTACTTGGAGATGTACTGCACGATGCAGGGGCGGTACAGCGGGGCGAGGACGGTCAGCCGCAGGCAGGCAGGCGCCACGAGGAGAGCGCCCAGGGCTGCAGGCTGGCTCCTGCTCCAACCCAGCAAGCCGGGGCGGGGGCAGCTGCCTGCCCGGTCGGCCCGCCACATCGCCTGCCGCCCGCTCCACACACCGTCCCACCCTGCCACCAGGCGCCCGCGCGCCGCTCCTCACCCTGTGCAGGTTGGTCTCGTTGATGCCGCCGTGGCTGTGCACCTTCTCGCCGCCGCGGAAGATGGCAAAGGTGGGGGTCACCCGCACCTGCAACAGCCAGGGAGGGAGCAGGCAGGCAGGCAGCGTGGAGTGAGCGACCCGCTTGTGCACACACGAGCACACGGCACACCATGCGCTCAGCCTCCCACCACACCTCAGGCAGCCGCAACACAACGCGCTACAGCGCGGGCGAGCATGCCCCGGCCAACAGCCTTCCCATCTTCCCGCTCCCTCCCAGTTGGAGGAAGCTGGCCCTCCCTCCCAGACCCCCCCCACACACACATGCACACACACACACGCGCAAGCGCACCTTCATGTCGATCATCATCTGCCGCGTCGCCTTGGTCTCGTCACCGTAGATCTCGGTGAACAGCGCGTCAGAGTACTGGGCGGCGGCGGCGGCGTACTTACGGGCAAACAGCTGCGGGGAGGGGAGGCGGGAGAGAGGGGGCGGCGTGGTTGGTGGAGTGTGGTGTGGGAGTGATGCGGCTGGTGTGGGAGTGGTATGGCTCCTATGGGTGGTGCCGTGCTGGGTGGTGCCGTGCTAAGTGGCTGTTGGCTTGGGTCGGTGTGCCGACACGGCGGCGATGCAGGAGGTTTGGCTGGGCATGTGCCGCGCAGGCGTGCCGTATAACCTGCCGGCGGCCGTGGCTGGAGGTGCCGGCAGGGGCGGGTTGCTGGGGGCCGCGCCGGCGCGGCTGCGGGCAGATGTGCCTGGTGCGGGCGGGCGGCGCGGCGGCGCACCTTGCAAGGGCGGCAGTGTGTGGCCTTGCACATGAGGACCACCATCTTGTCCTTGTTGGCTGCCATCAGGGCCTGAAACTCCTCTGGAGAGTGGACCTGTGGAGCGGAAGGGAGGGTGGGCGGATAGGGAGGTGGGTGGTGAGCGGGCGGGTGCGCGGCGCGCGCGGCGGCGCTGGCGGCAGCCCGGCCGCGCCAGCCAGCGCCAGCGGCGGGCCTTGCGGCTGGCTGGGCGGCCACCAGGCGGGCCCTGGGGCGCCGAGCAGCGGCGGGGGCTGGCTGGAACGGCTGGGGTCTGGAGCTCAACCAGTGCATGAGCAGAGGGCCGGCTTTTAGTAACCCAGCTCACCAGAGACACCGGTGAGTTGAGCTCCTCCTCGCTGGGTGCGTTCAGGCTGTGGTTACCCAACAGGTCGGCCGTGCCGCGGCTCAGGCCGGCCACCGCCTGGACCCGAATGGGTGCCCGCACCAGCCCGCCCACAGGCGCCAGCAGGCGCGGCCGCTGGCTGGTGGGCGGACGACAGAGGCTGCTGCTGCTGCAGCTGGCCAGGGAGTGTGAGAGGGCGCGCTCCATTGACGCGGTGTTAGCAGGGCCGCGGAGTAGACTCCCACAGGGTCTGCTAGTGGCTGAAAATGGAGCAGTGGTTGACGCCAGAGGTTTGGGAGGGCTGGGGAGAGTGTGGTAAGTCTGTGGCCGTTGTGGGCACTTGAGATGAGCAAAATGCCTGGGCGCAGCACGCAGCACGAATTCTGCCCGTCACATCAGCACCCCTTGCCCAAAGGTCAGTAAACTGATCAGCGGGCTCTCAGCCGATCAGCCGCCCGACCCTGCCCCCGCTGAGGCCGCTCCAAGTTCCTGACCCAACACCCGCCTGCCTCTGAGGCAAGGCCTCGCGGCCCCATGTTCAGCCTGGGGGAGATGGTGGTGCTCGCTGTGGCGGCTGCCTGGGTGTTTGGTGAGTGAGCGGCGGGCGAGCGGCGGCACGGGCGGCGGCAGCGCTCCCACTGTGTCTGCTTGGCAACCTTTCGACCTGCCAAGCTGCTGATGTGCGCTGCCTGCAGGGCCCAACGAGCTGCCGCGCATGGCCCGAGCGGCAGGTGAGCGGGGCGGGACTCCGCCCTCCGCCGCAGGGCACAACTCTGTGTGCCCTGCCGCCGACCGGCCCTGCCGCGCACCGACCGAGCACCTCAGCCAGGCCCTTGGTCACCTCTTGCCCCTGACTCCGCCTGCCCACCACCTGCCTGCCCACCATTCCAACCCGCAGGGCGGCTGACGGGGCAGGCCACCGGCTTCCTGTACCGCACCCGCGCCCGCTTCTTCCAGTTTGCCGAGGAGACGGAGATGACCAAGGTGGGGCTTGGGGGTGGGGGTGGATGTGCGTGTGGGGGTGTACGGATGTAGGGGGTCCGTGTTGGAGGTGTTGGATGGTGGGCTTGGTGGGGCATATGGGTGACCGCACCGCGCCACATGCCCTTCATGTCCTGCCCCACTCACCTGCTCGCGGGCTTCGGCCCAAAGCCCTGCCTGCCCTGACTGACCGACTCGATGTGTCACCCGCTGTAGCAACACTCGAATGAACTGAATCCACCTCCTTCCTGGCCCCCTCCTGCCCCCCCTGCCGCCTGCAGTTGCACCAGGAGGTGCAGGCCACGATGCACCAGCTGCACGCCATACGCAGCGAGCTGCAGGGCGGCATCAACATCTTCAGCCCAGGGTGGGGCCTGCCCGCCCGCCTGCGTGTATGTGCTTGCCAGCCTGTCTGCCCTGGTTGGTTTCTGGGCCTTGGGGACTCAAGGGGGAGAGAGGAAGTGAGCATGCAGCTCAACCTGACGCTGGCCTCCACACCCTCCCTCTTCCGGCTGCTGGTGTGCAGGCCGCTGGCGCAGCGTGTGATGAGCATCCGGCCTGTACCAGGGCAGGGCGAAGTTGATCCTTTCCAGCAGGCACAGCAGCAGCAGTTCCAAACGCCGCAACAGCAGCAGCAGGCGCCGGCGTGGGCCGCGCCTGTTCCCTCGGGCCAACAGCAGCAGCCGCAGCACCAGCAGCGGCGGCTCCAGCCTGCGATGGGTTCCTGGGCGGCCAGCGCACTGCCAGCAGCTGTGGCCCAGGCAGCAGGGCAGCGATCGCAGCCGCCGCCGCAGCAGCAGCAGCAGCCGCGAGTGGATGAGGGAGCAGGCGAGCAGCAGGCGCACCCGCTGACTGTGCCGGTGTCGGCGGTTGCGGCTGGTTTGGCGCCCGACCGCTCGGGCACAGCCCCCACTGGTTCAGGTGAGCTGGCGCCAGCCTGGCGCTGGCTGGCGCAGCCAGTCATGGTCTACCCTCTGCAGGTCTGGGGCACAGCCCTGCAGGCTCTTGAGGCTCACTACTGCCACACCTCAGCCTAGCTGACTTGACTTTGTGCTGCCGTGGTGCCACTGTACCGCCTGGTACTGCAGAGATCCTGCTGGATGCGCTGGCAGAGGAGCTGCTGGCGGCGCAGGTGCTGCGCCTGCAGCAGCAGCAGATGGCGGCGGCAGCCGCGGCAGCGCAGCGGCAGCAACAGGCAGCAACCGCGCAGCAGCAGCAGCAGCAAGAAACTTCGGAGCAGCAGGAGGCCGGGCGAGACGGCGCTGGAGACAAGCGGGAGCAGTAGCTGCTGCCCGGATCCTCCTTTGCCTCCAGTGTAACATACAGGTTTGAAAGAAGAACCATAAGGGAGAAGGGAGCGGAAGCGATATATGGAGCAGCGCTGTGGAAAAGGCTGCAATGGAAAACTGGGCAATTAGAGCTGCAAGGGTGCCGACGCCTGATGTCAACAGACCAGTGCTAGGCTGCCGCCAGCTCAGCGTCCACCTGCTGCCTGCTGGGCATGCTGGGCATGGCGCCCGCCACCTGGCACAGGACCGCAGCACGTCAGCAGTGTCAGTGGCCTGCCAAAGCAGCCAGTAAGGAGAGACCCAAGAGCAACTTGCAGGTTGAACCGGCGGGGCCGCGGGGCGCTCACCTGGATGCACAGGGCAGCTGCCACGCTGGCAAAGCGCATTGCCTCACGGTACGGCCTGCCCTCCAGTACCGCCACAGCAAAGGCTGCGGTGAAGCAGTCGCCTGGTGGGAGGCGGGGCGGGCCGGGAGGAGGCGGGGGCAGAGTTAGCGGGGCTGGGAGGCAGACGGGCAGGGTGGAGGCGGTGGAGCGACCATAAGCAAGGCGGCAGCAAGGCAGTGATTATGTTTTTCAGCGCTGGCCTGCCAGCACCGCCAGCCCACCCGCTCCCGTCGTGTCAACCACCTTCTCCACCCGCCGCGCCTCCTGCCGCCACGTGCTGCCATCCGCATCTGCAGCGCAGCGCGGTGGAGGGCACACCACACACATGCTGTGGTAGGGCGCTGAGGCTGCTCAGGAGGAGAGGAGGTGGCTGCAGCAGCTGGCTGGCGCCACGGCCTATATCTTCCCAACCAGCTGGGCAGCCGCCAAGCAAGCGCGCACAGGCATCCACCAAGCACCTACAACCCATTCACCGCCACCCCACCTGCCACCCACCTACGAGCAGGCTTCCGCGGGAGCCCAGCTTTACCAGCACGGTGCCCACGCCCTGCCCTCGCAGCACCTGCGCCGCCGCCACTATCTGCTCCTCTGTGTCGGTGGGCATGCCTGCGGCGCCGTATGGAGGCGCAGCGGGGTGCGTATCTGCCGAGTGCAGTGTGTTTCTGTGTGCTGGTGGCGGGGGGACCAAGAGACGCACACACACCCTGCCGCCAGCCAGCCCACCCACACCCTGCTGTTTGTCCTCAGCTGAAGCGAGGCTATTTCCAGGTGCCTGCCCTGGCGCAACCCCCTGGCACCTCACCTGTCAGCCCTTGCAGCTCGGTCTCGTTCGGGGAGATGACGGCCAGGCAGCGCAGCAGGTCGGGACTGAGGGGGGCGGTTGCGCCGCCGGCATCGAGCACCACGGGAACGCCCGCCGCATGCGCCAGCTGCAGCCGTGAACAGGGTGCGGCACTGCCCACGCTTGAGCTGTGCAGCAGCAGGCATGATGCAAGAATCTGCCTGGCAGCTTCCACCTGCCAGCAGCTGTAGGAACCTGTACGCGCTTGCATACCACCTTGCCTGCGCCACCTCGGCGTTGACGGCTTCTGGGATCTCCCGCTGCAGCAGCACCGCACCTGCGGACGAGATAGCGGCGCGCGCCTCCTCGCCCAGCTGCCACGGCGCGGTGTTGGCGCCGCCGTGGAGTATGATGCGGTTCTGGCCTGCTCGGTGTGAAGTAGAGAGGAGGAGCGAGGAGAGGGCAGGGTGGGGATGCCGTGGGAAAGGAGGACGGGGCCGCACACCTTAATGCTGCCAGCAGATGCAACAACAAAGATACTGGTCATTCAAACTACAAGCCCCAGAGGTGCGCAGCAGGCGCAGCCGCTGACCCTCTGCTGTTGGCTCACCATCCTCCTCCAGAAGGATGACGGCGGTACCGGTGGGGCCCTCCACCTCCCGCACCAGACTAGTGTCCACGCCGCACCCCTCCAGCGCTCCGCGCAGCCTGCTTGGGGACAATTCAGCAATGATAGGTGGCACAGCGGCAGAGCTGCACAGAGCGGCAGGAGCGACGGCACAGCGGCGGTGGCGGCAGAGGCTCACATCTGTGCCTGCGCATCGCGGCCAACCTGTGCCACTAGCTGGGTGGGGCAGCCCAGGCGTGCCGCCGCGGCCGCCTGGTTGCCGCCCTGCGCTGACCGAGAAAGTCAGCCACAGGCTTTTGAGGGGAGGCAAAGGCGGCGGTGGCGGCGGCGCGGTGGTGGCGGAGTGTCCGCGCCGCACCTTGCCTCCCGGGTGCACCGCCATGCTCTTCGCAGGCAGGGTCTCCCCAGCACGCGGCACCCGCAGCAGCTGATACACAAAGTCGGCATTCACGCTGCCCGCCACCGCGATGTGGGCTGCCATGGGCTGCGTTCGCAAAGGCTGACAGTCTGAGATCGATCAGCGTACAAATGTGGGCCTGGCGGGGCATGTGGAGTGCAGGCGCCGTCCACCCTGGCGTGCCTGCTGGGCGGCAAAGTGGACAAGGTTGCCGGCGGCGCCCTTGGAAGCCCAGCGTGCCCGTGCCTCGCCCCCTCTGACACCCAGGACGTTCGTAGGTGATCGGCCGCCTCGATGGTGGCATCGGAGAAGGGGCACGGGTTCAGGGGCATCACCCAGCGGCCAAACGGGAAATGGATAGCGCGGCTACCGTGGGGAGGGACACAATTGCACTTCGGCTACCACCCCACGCCAGAGGCAGCGGCGCACCACGCCGACATGTGAGAACCGCCAGCCGCTTGCTGGCTGCCCTGCCGCTCGCTCATCGCCGCCAGGTGCCCCTCATGCAGCGGCGCATACCTGATTCATGGCGACGAGGCGGAGTTCAACCTGCCAGACCTCATGACCGAGGAGCTCAAGGCCGAGCTGGACGAGTACGAGGACGTGTATGCGGTGAGGCGGCGTGCCGAACACGTCACATCTAACCCAGCCCTGAGCTGCCCGATGTTGCGGCATGAACCTGCCCGATTCCCATGCAGTATCTGGATGACTTGAAGAAGGAGTCAGAGGCCAAGCAGGACGCCCGCTTCCGCAAGGGCAGCAGCCGGCACCGGGGCGTCAGCTGGTATACTGCAGGCGGCAAGTGGCGAATGCAAGCTTCGTTACGTGGAGGCAGGCGCTTTGAAAAGTTCTTCGACAACGAGGATGACGCGGGTGAGCGGAGGCCCAGAGGGCGTGCACAAGGCGGACAGAGGCTGCAACTTGCAGTTCCAACCAGGCGCACCCCGCCCACATGCTGTGTGCAGCACGGCGCTACGACCGCATCCAAATCGAGCTGCACGGAAGGCATGCCTGCCGCCATAAATGCTGCATCATTGATGCACCCAGCGCACCGCTTCAGCAGCTGTCTCCAGCTGACCGCGCCCGTTCCTACCTGCAACCCACATCCGCCTGCATGCAGCGCCGCACGCACCAACTTCCCCTTGGCTGGCTACGCCTCTGAGCTTGCTGCGCGCGAGGCGCGCGTGGCGGCGGGCGAGGCGCCGGCGCCAGGTGTGGACGGTTTGTGGGTATGCGAGTTGCAGCCGCCGCTGCCTGCCCGACTGTCATCCAATCAAGAAGGCCTCCACCTGCACACATCTGCAACCTCAGCCTATGCGCTGCTGCTGGGCGCCCCATGCCCCACAGCCCTGCCTGCAGCGGCCAAGCCTGCGGCCTCCAAGGCCAGGGCAAATCGCAAGCGCGCCACAGCGGCGGCGGCAGGAGCACCAAGCGGCAGCGGCGGGGCGGCAGATGATATGGCGGACGAGGCTGATGATGAGGCCGAGGAGTCTTCGGGTGGGCCCCACTGCCTCTGCACATTGCTGGCAGGCTGGCGGGCTGCCCTGCACGTCGGCCAGACTGGTCAGCATCGCCACTCTGCCCCTTGCCCCCTGGCCAGCAGACTATGCCAGCAGCAGCGAGGAGGGCGCGTGGGGCTTTAGGGATAGCGACGACGACTGGAGCGATGCCTCGGAGGAGGATTCTGATGAAGAGGAGGAGGAGGAGCAGGAGGGCTGGCTGCGGGACCGCTTTGATGTCTTTTACGACTCCGCTCTGGCCTGCGAGCGCTTTGAGGTGGGGACTGCGCTCGCAGCATGCGAGTGGGGAGCAGCAGGGCTGTGTAGGTGTCCGCGAGTGATTGGCTGAGTGCCACTTCCGTGAAGGCGGCCTGATCGCAGGGCCAGCAGGTGCTTGCAGCTGAGAGAGGGGGCAAGCCAGGCCGGCGGGCAGGCGGCGTCGGCTGCCTGACAAGACGGCGCCTGCCCCAGTGTGCCCATTCACCTCCCCCTTCCACTTTGCCGCCACCCGCCTGTGTGCAGGAGGAGTACGGGCGCCCGCCCTGCGACGACTTTGACGAGATTGAGTGAGTGGGCAGGAGACAATGTGGGGTTGCAGCATAGCATCTCAGGGGGCATCAATGTGGCTAGCTTCCCGGCGGAAACAACAAGGTGCCTGCACTGGATGAGCCTGCCTGCCTCCCTGCGTGGCCTGGTGCAGGGATTGGGAAGAGGAGAACCCCGGCTGGGTGCCTGAGGAGCTCAAGTTCATGCTGGCCGACTGGGTGCGCCCGCCTGGTGCTGCAGCTGCTGATGCTTGGTCAGGGCTGTTTCTGTCTGTGGCAGCGCTTCTGCCCACCGAGACTGCCTGCTGTGCTGCTGCAGGGAGTGGTGGTGGTGGACTATGAGGAGGAGCTGTGAGCAACTGCCTGCCTGCTGTGTCTGCTGTGCATGCTGTGCATGCTGCCTGCTGCCGCCCCGACCCAACTTCTCCTGCATCTCCCTTGGGGTTTGGCTGTGCCTGTTCAGGCCTCCTGCATCCAGTGCTGCTGCCTCGGGCTCAGCCCCCACCTTGCCACGCTGGCAACGTATGATTCAATCGGCCAGCCACAGCTCAGCGCTTCCTGCCTGGACTGACTGGCTCCCCATTCCATCCCCATCCCCAACCCGCCATCCTCCTTGACTCTCTGCAGTGAGAAGTTCCGCACGCAGCGCGTCGAAGTGGCAGAGGCCAAGCAAGCGGCGGCAGAGGCGGCCGTGGGCACTCCAGACGAGGCGAAGGCGGCGCGGGCGGCAGCGCGGGCGCTCAGGGCTGCCGAGCGCATGGGTGGGTGCGGCTTGGCTGCTGGCGCTACCTGCCGCTGCTGCGCTGCTTCCTCTTCTCTTCGCGGAGCAGCGGGGATTCGCTGCCTGGTCCTGAGGGCTTCTCCTGTGTTGCAGTCTGCTAACCTGGCGCTACCCAATGTGCCGCCGTGGTACTGCCCATGTACTGCCCCTGTACCGCAGAGGACGAGCTGCCCACTGAGGCAGAGCTGGTCAACCGAGAGGTGGTGGCGTTTGTCAACAAGCACCGCTCGGCGGTGGCGGCAGCAGCGGCGGCCGAGTCCGCGCTCGACCCGCGGGAGCGCTTTGCCCGCTCAGTGCGGCGCTTCAACCGTAAGCGCTGACAGGGTGGCGTGCTGCCGCCTGTGTAGCAGCAGTTCAGCTCATGCGCGGTACCGATGCCTGCCTCCTACCTCGGGGCAGCACTTGCCTCAGCTCGTCATACTCATCGCCTCCCCCCTGCTCTTCTGCAGTTGAGAACTTGATCCCCAAGCCGGGCGATGACAAGTGCGCAGCACGCTGCCACGTGCCGCTCTGAGGCTTGGCCGATCCCTGCCTGACAGTGCCTTCCCGCCTTCCAGCTTGCGGGACTGCCTGCACTCCTGCCTGCCTGCCTGCCCGCACTGCTTATCATCTCACGGCACAGCCCTGCACCCCGCCCAGCTGTCAGAAGCACGATGCAACCACTTGTTCCTCGGAGAGTCTCCCGCTGGCTGCCCCCTGCAGGAACACGCCCGCCCACCTGATGGCCGAGCTGCGGCGGCTGGAGCGGGACCTGCCGCAGTACCTGGAGGCGCTTTCCAGCATGGAGGACCGTGAGTGGCATGCCATGAGTCCAGAATCAGTCCCTCAGTTTCCGCCAATCCGCCATATGGCGATTCAGCGGATGCACGCTTGCATGCACACACGAGGTGGCGCTCAGCACATTGCGGCACTTCTACGCCATGTGCCGAGACGCTCGCGCCGCTGCTGGTATTCCCCCTGCCGCAGAGGAGCTGGCAAAGGGCGCGGCCGATAAGCTGGTGAAAGATGTGCTGAGCAGCCGGCGTGTGGTGGAGGTGCGAGGCTGGGCCGTGCCAGCGGCTCAGCAGGGCGCAGAGGGGCTGCAAACCCTCCCAGCCCCCGACCTTGCCGGTGCAGCAGCTGCCGCTGGCCCCACTGCTTCCAAGCCTCCCAACCACCCCCACCCTGCCTGCTGCCTGCCATCCTGCCTGCTTGCCGCCAGGTGCGGGGCTGGGACATGGCGGAGCAAAGCGCAGAGGCCAAAGCCACACTGCGGCAGCTGATGGGCCTGGCGGGCGTGGAGCCAAGCAGCAGCGAGGGTGAGGCCGCACCTGCCACACACGCATGCTGCTCCTGCCAGGACAGTGTCGCTCACGCGGCTTCGGTGCACGGCCGGCTGCCCGTGTGGTGCAGAGAGTGAGAGCGAGGAGGAGGAGGAGGAGCCTTATGTGAGCTGCTGATGCTGCTGGTGGTGCTGCTCCTGCTCCTGCCTGCCCACCCCACCCCCGCGGCCACTCACATCGACCCGCCAGCCCTGCTTTGCCTTGGTCGCCATCCCAACCTGCCTGTCTGGCTGCCTCCCACCGGGCCGGCCTCTGCAGATCCCAACCTTCTTCCCGCGCGGCTTCGAAAAGTGGGGGGTGGAGGAGATGGCGGCGTTCCTGCGCCACATCGTGGCTGCCGCCGCTGCTCACACCCCAGGCAAGTGCATGAGGCTTCCTCCCGCAGGTTTCTGCTGCTGCCGGGGCATGCATGGGGGGAGGTGTGGAAGGCGACCGGGCACTGCCCCACCTGCCTCGCTGTGGCTGTGCTGCTGTGCAGCCGCCAAGGGACGCGACGAGGTAGCGGCGCCCCAGGTGGCGCCACGCACCGCCACCGGCGCCAGCAAGGCGCAGCAGGCGCCCGTGCCTGTGCCTGCGCAGCAGTCTGCGGCTGAGGCAGCCGCCAGCACCGCGGCTTTCTTCAAGGCAGCCGCCGCAGCCGGCAACGGCCTGGGTGGCGGTGCCAGCACCACCCCTTCCGCCTCTGCCCCCGCCATCCCTGCCCCTGGTGCCTTTACCAGCGCTGGGTTCACCGGGTTCAGCTGGGCCACCAGCGCTGGCCCCGGCTTCACGTTTGGCAGCGGGGGCAACGAGGAGAGCGGCGCCGGCGAGGCCAGGGGTGGTGCAGAGGCCAGCGGCAACGGCGCACAGGACAGCGCAGGCGCCGGCACCGACGGCCTCACCCGCGCCGCCGCCACGCGCCTTTGCCTGGAGATGCGAGCCGAGCGGGAGCGCCAGGCGTCTGCCGCTGCCGCCGCTGCCGCGGGCGGCGGCTTCGGTCCTGCCGACGCTGGGCCCAGCCTGGCAGAGCTGATGGAGGCAGCCCGGGCGAATGCTGCCGAGGATGAGGAGCTGGAGCGGCGGCAGGCGGCTATGGAGGTGGAGCTGCTGACGCTCAAGAGCGCACTCGCAGAAAAGGGGGTGAGGAAGAAAGAATGGCGGAACAGACGGAAAGGGATTCACCTTGCCAGCTGGCCACGAAAGTGGTGTGGGCTGGGCCGGGCGCATGGTGTGGCATGGCTGGGCTGTGCCCTCCAGCCGGGTGCGTGTGCGCCACTCCCTCTGCTCCCGGTGCCGCCGGTTGCAACCTCAGGGCCGCACCCATCTGCACCGTTGTGTCACACCACCAGCACCTGCGTGCCACACATGCCCACCCACGCTCCCATGCAGCTCCGCATGGGGGAAGCCATCAGCGCCAACCAGTTTTTGAAGGTGTGCGTGTACTGGGAGGGACATGTGGCGGCGGCGCTGAGGGCCAAAGACCTCGCCACGTGAGCCCGCTCGGCTTCCCCGCCTCTTGCCAGGCTCCTGCCAGGCTGCTGCTGGGGCGGAACCAGCTGGGGTGTGGCCAGCTGGCAGGCAGCACGGCCGCCGGCTGGCAGGCAGGGGCCGCGGTGCGCCACTGGGCGGGGTGGGCCTGCCCGACCTGCCCTGATGCAGTGCTTCCAAGCCCTGAACCCTTGCCGCCAACACTCAACCCCACCTGTCTGCCTGGCTGCCTGCTCCCGCAGGGTGAAGAAGATTCTGGGGCCCGACTGGCGAGGCCGCCTGGCGCGTGCGGCGCAGCCTGGTGCCGAGCCGCTGTTTGGCACACATGACGGCCTGGCCTCGCTGCCGCCCATCAAGGTCGGCATCGGCGAAATCATGGGGTGAGGATGGCTGAGCCGGTGTCTGTCTGCGACGATTCAGCCGCCCCGAAGGCCCCTCCGGGAAGCCTTGGCAGGGTCGGCTGGAGGGGGACCAACTCGCTGGCAGCACTGGCAGCATAGCCGCAGCAGCGCGACACAGCAGCGCCGCAGTGCGGGCTTCGGTGGGTTGCAGTGGTTCACCGCTGCCTGCCTGCCTGCCTGCCCACCACCCTCTCACCTCCCTGCTCCCTACCCTGGCCGCCACGTGCAGGGAGATGACGGGCAACATCCCCACCCACTACATCAGCGCAGAGCTGGCGGGGGAGCTGGGGGTGGAGGTGCCTGAGGGGTCGGGCCGAGCCATGATCCCCGTGGTGGGCCACCCCGGCGGCAGCTGCTTCGAAATCAAAGAGCCTGCTGGGCAGTGGGACCGTCGTACACCATGCCAGCTTGAGCCCGCAGCCCAGCCGGCGGCAGCCCCTCGGCGCGGCTTGCAAGCAATGCCGAAAGCTGTTGAGGTTCTCACAACCTGCCCCTGTGTTTCCACCGTGCTCTGAGCAGGTGGATGACTTCACGCTGCAGAACTGGTTCATGAAGACCTGCGAGCAGGTGCCTTCCCCGCCCTGCCCCACGCTTTCTTTCTTGCTTCCCATCTCTGCTCCTGCCTTCTATTCTCCTCTCTGCTGCCTATCCTGAACTGCTGGGCAGCGCTTGCGGCTGCTGTGTGTGCTGCCCTGCTGCCTCTACGCCTCTATCACAGCAGCCCGCCCAGCTCCACCACATGTGTGCGCCTGCCTGTGCTACCCTGCGAGCAGGCGGCGGCAGGCCAGCCGATGACCGGCTTTGGGTATGGCGGCGATGCCGAGGAAAGCTGGAATGGGGTGAGAGCCCCAGAGGCAGCCCTACGGCTGTCTCGGCGGTCTGCAGGGGTGCAGGCAGCTCCCAGCTGAGCTGCTGTGCGCCGATGCAGGGGGCAGCACGGCTGGCGCCTGCTGGGCTTCTGCTCGCCCAGCTGTGGACCCGCCCAGCACCAGCGCTGCACCGCAGCAAATGCTCTCCCCTCTCAGCTCCTGCCGACTGCTCCCGATCCTGCCTGCCTGCCTGCCTGCCTGCCTGCAGAAGGCATGCCACGTTCCCTGGCCGCAGCCCCACAACCAGCGGAGCCGGAGGGAGATGAAGGAGGTGCGTGGGGCGTCCGATGGCGGCGGCGCCAAGATGGGAGGCCCCTGGCCGGATGCCGCGGACCAGGAGGAGGCAGATAGGATGGCGGCTGCCGTGGTGGCCGCCGCGACCGCCGCCGCTGTGGCGCCCTCGTCAGGGCAGCAGCAGCAGCAGGCTGGGGGTTCAGGGTCGGGGCAGCGCCAGGCCCATCAGCAGCAGCAGCAGCAGCAGAGGCAGCAGCGTGGGGCTCGCCTGAATGAGCAGATGGAGGGGCTGTGCCTGTCAGAGGATGATGCTGATGATGAGGTGGTGGTGATGGATGTGGAGCAGCAGCGGCGGGCCATGGGCAAGGGGAAGCAGGCGGTGAGGTAGCAGCAAGGCAGCCCGGCCAGTCAGATCAGACATCAGAGACAGCATCGACAGCATCAATCAGCAGCAGCATCCTCAGAAGGGGCACAGTCAGCAGCAGCAGGCCCCAGGAGGGGCGCAGTCAGATCGGGAGCAGCTGCCCCAGAAGGGGCGGCGCAAGCACAACAGGCCGCGGCTAAGAAAGGCCTTCTTTGAAGGCGCTGGAGCTAGTGTCTAAACCCTCCGAGAGGGCACAGGTTCGATTCCTCCCATGTCGAAACTTTGTGAGGACAAACGCGGCATAGCTGACCGGCTCAGCGCCAATCCAAGCCAATTCCTTCGGGAACGCCTAATAGAATCGCCAAGGCTTCGGCACAGGCCTCCCCGGGACCCATTCACTACTAGTGGGGGGTACTGCACTTGGCGCGTCGGGCAGATCAAATAATGGTCTAAAGCTAGACGTTAAAACCGGGAAGTGAAGCTTGTGGAGGCTCTTCCCCACCTTTACCTTTACCTTTACAACAGCACTCAGGACTTGCCGCGAGCACAGGCTCAGCGGCAAGCGGCTCATGCAGTATCACATAGTAAATCCGTGCATGCATTCAAATCCTTGCTATGCGAACCTGCAATTCTCATGCATTTTGCTTGCTTGCCCTCTGTATGCCGGTTGCGCAGCCAGCCTGCGTCCCGGGCCGGCGGTAGCTGCCCATTCGGCTGGCTGGAGGCGCCGGCGCATGCCTTGTAATGCTTGCCTGTTTGATCCAGGTGACTAGGGTGCAGCAGGCTCGCAGTTGCACGAGCACATGGCCGTGAGTGGAGGCCAGGGAAATTGGGCGCAGGATGAAGCTGAGAGATTTGTAAGCCGCCGCCCGCCGCCCGATGACGTGTCGCCCGCGGCGGCTGAAGATAATGCGCCCCCCCGCTCCCCGGCCCGATCGCCGATAATAACAGCGCACTTCATCGGGGCGCCTGGACACTGTGCAGCTCTTCCATCACTTGGAGTCCACCCCTGTGCGCGGCGCATTGCGGTCCCTCGCGGCTTAATTGTCTTGCATCGAACGCCTCATGGCCGCACCATGTGCTAGGAGAGGCGCCGGGGCGCCCTGGGCGCTGCTGGTCCTGGCCCTCCTGGCCTCGCCGCTGGCCGCTGCCCTCAAGCTGGATATCGACGGCCAGGCCATCGTCGACCAGCTGCTGCACCTGGCCACGTATTCCGACGATCCCAACCCCGCCGTCACCCGCATCCTCTTCACAGGTGGCAAGCGGCGGCGGGGCGCCATTGCCGCCAGGAGGGGATCGAACCCACAACCTCCCTGCCCACCCCACCGCTGCTTCCTCGCCCTGCGGCCTCTCGCTCAACCCTGGACCCACCCACATCTTCCCTGCCGCCCTCCCAGCCCCTGGCCTCACCGCCGCAGCCTCTGCCGTTTGCAGTTGCGCCCCTAACCGCCGCTGCCCTGTCCCCCCCCCCCCCCCCTTCTCCTCCCCTCTCCCCGTACCTTGCAGAGAACGACATGAAGGCACGTGGCTACATCAAGCAGCTCATGGCAGAGGCGGGGCTGACAATCAGGGAAGACACGATGGGGGACATCTACGGCGTGCTGCCAGGCGCCAACCCGGGCGCTGCCTCTGTATCCACAGGCAGCCACTGCGATGCCATCCCGCTGGCGGGCGCTTACGACGGCACCCTGGGTGAGCCAGCAGCCCCGCGGAGTGCAGCCCCCTGCTGTCAGCCGCTGCGGGCTGCCTTCGCCGGTGGCCGCCCGGCCGCTCTCTGCTGGGCGCTACGCTGGGAGCGGTGGCTCGGCTGGCGGCGGCGGCCCTTGCGCGCGCCCACCTCCTACCATTGCTACCCCAAGACCCTGCAACTCCCCTCCTCCTCAATCCCCTCACGCATCCACCATTAAACGCGTGCAAAGATCATACAGTCATACACTGTACCCACCACCTGTCCTCCTCCCACCTGCAGGCGTGGTGGGCGGCATCGCCGCGCTGCGGGCCCTCAAGGAGGCCGGCTTTGTGCCTGCTAAGCCTCTGGAGGTGGTGATGTTCACCTCTGAAGAGCCCACCCGCTTTGCGCTCAGCTGCAGCGGTAGCCGTGCGATGGCGGGTGCGCACCGGATGGCCGCTAGGGGGCTGGGGGCTGGGGGGAGGGGGTTGCTAGCCTGCCAGGCAGCCGTGGCTTGCCGTGAGTTTGGGCGGTGCTGAGGTTCCCTGAGCCTCCACTGACACAGCCCTCCACTTACCCACAGCACCCTCACCCACACATCCCCATCCTCCACCCCCACCCCACCCACACCCTCCGCCCCTTGCAGGCGTGCTGGATGCTGGCTATCTGGACAGCCGCCGCGACGAGAACGGGACCTCCTACCTGGCAGCCGCCACCGCGGGTGCGGCAGGCCTGCCAGGGCGGCACTGCATGGACTGCATGCATGCTTGGGAGTTCGGCCCATGCAGGGGTTGCCCGGCAGAGGAGGAAGAAAGAAGCATGCCGGTGCCGCTGCTGCCGTGGCAGCCACGTGAGCTGGCAGCCTGCCCCCTCCCCTGCCCACCTGCCCGCCTGCGTTGTGCAGCCGGCTACGGCGCCGCCACGTACGGCGAGATGCTGCAGGGGGCGAGGCGCACCCCTGCTGACCTGGCGGCCTTTGTGGAGCTGCACATCGAGCAGGTCGGGTGCCTGCTGCTTTCCTCCCTCGTTCTTTCTTCTTTCTTCTTTCTTCTTTCTTTCTTTCTTTCTTCTATACTTCTTTCTTCCTTCTTTCATAAAACACAAGGTTTGCCCTGGGGTGCTTGATGGCAGCTGCACGCCGGGCAGGGTGCGCCCGCTGCCCTCCTGCCGGCCTCTGCCTCCCTGCCTGCTCATGCGCATGGCAGCTGCCGGCGCGGCTGCAGGGTCCCCTGCTGGAGAAGGAGGGCACCCAGATCGGGATCGTGACCGCCATCGCCGCCCCCGCCGCCCTGCGGGTCTCCTTCTCAGGTGGGAGGGCGGGGGCGGGCGGGTGGGCGGGAGGGCGGGAGCTGGCGGGGGGATGGCTGGCCGAGCCGGCTGCGGCCTGCGGCTGGCTGGTCGGGCTGGCCAAACCTGTTGCTCCCCATGAATCTGCTGCACCACCATGCACCATCTCAGCCTATTCAAGGTATTGCCTGGCCCAGCCTCGTTCCGACGCACTTTGTGACGCTCCCGCGTTCTGCCCGTCCCTTCCTCCGCCCCGCAGGCGACGGCGGGCACGCGGGCGCGCAGCTGATGCCGTGGCGCAACGACGCCTCGCTGGCCGCCGCCGAGCTGGCTCTGTTTGTGGAGCATGCCGCGCTGTCCGCGGGTGCGCCGCTCGCCCTCTCCTTGCGTGCCCTTCGCCCTTCTTGGCCCTGCTCCATGCTTGCAGGAGGGCTTGCATTCTATCTGCCCAGCTCTTTCCGGCTCTTCTCCTGGCAAGGCCGGCACCCAGCGCCGGCGGCATGCGCGCATGATCCAATCTGCTGTGCCCGCCTGCCTGCCCCGCAGGCTCCTGGGACACTGTGGCGACCGCCGGATACTGGGACATCAAGCCCAACGCAGTCAACTCTGGTGGGCGGGGGCGAGCAGACACTGTGCTTCCCATCAGTAGCAGCAGCACTAAAGCCACCAACACCGCCGCTTGCCCCCTCACGCACGCGCCCCACCCATGCGCTCACAGGCCTGCTCTCAAACACTTCCTTGTCCCCCCGCCACAACTGCTCATCCCACTGCCTGCCTTCCCTGCAGTACCGCGGGAGGCGGTGCTGGAGATTGATGTGCGGGACATCGACCGGGAGCGGCGGGACGGCGGGGTGGGCTCCATCCGCGAGGAAGCAGCCAAGATCGCGCAGCGGCGGAAGGTGGGGGTGTGCTCGTGGGCAGGGCCTTGGCGCTGCTGTGGGGTGTGTGGTGGCGGGCGCCGCCTGGGCAGGGCCCCCTGGGGGCGTGGCAGCGCTCGACATGCTGTGAGGGAAGGGTCTGCACAACGCCCTTCCAGCACCACCACGACATGTGCCCCGCGCACATGCTCTCTCTCTCTCTCTCTCTCTCTCACACACACACACACACACACACACACACACACACATGCAGGTGCGCCATTCTGTGGACATCATCAACCAGGACCCGCCCGCCACCTCGGCGCCCGCGGTGGTGGCCGCCGCCGCGGCGGCAGTCAGGTGGGCGCCTCCCGCCCCATCCCGTGCCCTCCTTTCTCTTTTTGCTTGAAGTGGCAGGCCAGCTTGCGCCAGCAGCGGCGGCCTCCGCTCTGCCCCCGCTCTATCCAGTCCGCTCGGCGTGCCATCCTCAAGCAAGCACAACTGTTCTTCCTCCCCACCTGCCACCCTCCCTGACCCTCTCCCCTGCCCGCCTCTCTGGGCACTACTCACACTGCAGCGAGCTGGGGTACAGCAGCAAGCGCATGGTGAGCCGCGCCTACCACGACTCCCTCTTCATGGCGCAGGTGCGGTACGGGAGGGGCGGTAGGGGAGGGGCGGTACGGGAGGGGCGGTACCTAGAGGCAGTACGCATCGTGCACAACCCTGCGGCAGTGCCCCAGCAGGGCCCCGCGCTCGTCTGCTGCGCCTTTGCATGGCGCGATGCCTGCCGGCACCGCGAGCCCCAGGCTCCCCACCCTGCCCTCCCCTACTCGTCCCTCCCCTCCCCCTTCCATCTCCGCCGCCGCAGATTGCGCCCACCGCCATGATTTTCATCCCCTGCCGCAACGGGTGGAGCCACCGTCCCGACGAGTATGCGTCGCCCGCAGACATCGCCCGCGGCGTGCAGGTGGGGGCTGGGACCATCTGTGGGATCTTATGTATAGCTGGTGGCCACTTCCTGAGCCACACACACCCCTTGTTCTCCAGTTGGGTGGCGCCGCCGACCTATTCCTTTCCAATTACTTTCTTCCTCGCAGGTGCTGGCACACACCATGGCGAGGCTGGCGGGGGACGCCGCCGACGCCAAGCAGGAGCTGTGAGCGACAGCTCACACTGGCTAATGGTAGCGGTAGCGGATGGCAGGCGGGGCACGGCGCAGCATAGAGGCTGCACCAGCGGGTCGCCGCCGCCTGCCAGCCACAGGCCACGCCTCCTGCGCTGCTGCACTCATGTTGGCCTTGCACGTGTTTGTCCCTGATTTATCCAACAAATCAGCCACCGTGTTGTCCCTGATTTATTGCGTCACACATTTTTCACATCGTGAAATAGCCATGCTCAGCACCAATCAGGCTAGGAGCAGATATAACTTCATGTGGGTCAGTTGTGTCCAGTGCAGAAGTGGTGAGCAGGGTAACTGCCGTGTTCAGGACTCACAAGCGGATCGGGTAATAACTGGCAGGCAGCCCACTGGCAGATGAGGGGGCACCCGCATCCCGTCCTGCCCCCTGCCATGGCAGGGACAGGCCGACAGCGGCCCTACAGGCTGCCCACAAAGGAGAGGACCAGCGCGTCCCAGGAGGCCACGCGGGCGCCCGGGCGCAGCTGCAGCGTGGCGGTGGCCTTGCAGTCGGACAGCAGCTCAAAGTCATCCACAGTCACCTGCAGGCGGGCCGAGCACAGGCAGGCGCTCGCCGTGGCGTGGGTGTCAGCTGTGGAATGTGGTTGCTCACGCGCTGGGGGCAAGGGCGCATGCCGGCTGCAAGCAGGCTCGGGTGTTTGCTGTGGCTGGGATGATGCCAGCTCACCCACACACACCCGGCCGCACCTCCTGGCTGGCCTCGCCGTAGCGCGACACCGCGCCAAACATGTCGTGCGCGGCGCGGCTGCTGGGGGCCCAGCCAAAATGCACCAGCGCCGCCGCGGGCTCGCTGCCGCCCTCGGCCTGCACGCAAGGGCGGATGGTGGGGTGGAGGGTGGGGTGAGGGTGCGGCAGGCTGGGGATGGGGCCTGGGCATTGAGGGCCGGCCGGGAGTGCAAGCGGCAGGCCAGCTGCAGGCAGTACAAGTGCCGCCACTCGCCTTGATCAGCCGGCGCCGCACCACAAACGCCCGGCTGCCGGCGGCCTCAAAGTTGATGGGAGGGTCTGAGGCTGCCGCCGCAGCCGCCGCAGCCCCTTCGCCAGCCGCCTCGGGGCCAGCCGCCGCGCCCGCTGCAGCAGGCAGGGAGAGTGGTAGGCGCCAGCCCTCTGGTTGAATGTATCGATATTCGCCATCCTGAGGAAGGACTGCCTAACACAGGATGCAGGGAGGAGAGGCCTACCAGCAGACAAGCACCAGCTCCGTTCCCGCCTCCCAGAGCCTCACCTGTGCTGCTGCTGGGAGCGCCGCCGCCGGGCGCGGCGCGGCGCCGCTTGGGGCGGCCATTGATGAGGTAATACTCGGCCTCGGCGGGCGCCTCCCTGCTGCCGCCGCCGCCCGCCGTGCTGCCCTGCTGCTGCTGCTGCTGCTGCTGCTGCTGGGCGGCTGCCGCTGCGGCCGCAGCCGCCACCTTGGCGCTCCCGGTGGTGGCGGCGCCGGCGGTGAGCGGGTTGAGAAAGAACTGGACGGGGCGGGGGTAGCCTGCAGAGCAGGGGAGGGGTTGGCGCGCAGTCGGGCGCGACTCTGTGAGCCATCTGCTGGGCACGAAGCGGAACCACACCGCCTCAAAAAGCAAGAGGGAAGATACAGAAACAGTCCACCATTTGTTCACCCCAGCCAGCCAGGCGCCACCCGTGCAAGCCTGGGAGCGGCGCGCCTGCCCTCTCCTGCCAGCCACAGGCACAGCTGGCCTGCACCACCCCGCAGGTACATATATCTGCTCCCGCCCCTGCCAGCTGCTCCCCGCCCCTGCCAGCTCCCCTCGCCCTACCGTGGCGCTTCAGCCAGATGCCGCAAGCGTTGCACAGGGTGCCGACCGGGTAGTTGTCTCGCCACCAGCGGGGGGTGTCTGTTGTGCCGCAGTGCGCGCACGTCGCAGCCGCCTCCTGGGCCTGCCAAAGAAAAATACATTGGAAAGCAATTGGGAGACAAAAGGCGAGGGCTGGTGAGGTGGTAAGCTGCGGGGTATGCTGCGTGCAGCATTACATGCAGGCAGGCAGGCATCGGCCGCGCGGACCCCACCTGGCGGCCAGAGGACGCGCCGGCGGCCGTGGATGCGGTGCCAGTCGGGCGCCGCTTGCGCGGCCGGCCACGAGCCTTGGGCTTGGCCTGCCAGTCTGGGTCCCGGCCCGAATCATCCATCGACGCGGCTGCCGCCGCCGCCGCCACCGCCGCGGCTGCCGCCGCGCTCTCGCTCTCATCGTCGGCAGCCGCTGCCAGGGCCTGCAGCGGCGCGGAGTGTGGAGGAGCAAAGGGTGAGAAGAGGAGGGTGTGTGGCTGGGGAGGTTGAGAGTGTTGTGTGGGAGCAAGGAGCTCCGGTGCGCTTGTCAGCTAGCAGCAGCACAAGAGCGGGCAGCTGCGCACCGCCGCCGCCTCTGCCTCTGCAGCATCGCCCTGAGAGGCCGTGTTGCCGCTGCCTGGCGCCGCCGCCGCCAGAGCATCCGTGTTGGCAATGGTGGGAGGAGCCAAAGGCTCCTGCTCGTCAGCATGCCGCCCCGCGGCGCCTGCCCCGCTGCCAGGCGCCTGCCGCTGCTGCTGCCGCTGCTGTTGCGAGGGCAGCAGGAGCTCGGGGCTGGCAGGGCTGCCTGCCGCGCTGCGCTGCGCCGCTGCCGCGTCGGCGGCGGCAGCGGCTGCGGCCGCCGCCTTCCGCACCGCTGGATCTGCCTTGGCAGCCAGGCAGCAGGCGGCGATGGGGGTGCCGCTGGAGGTGCAGCCAGCTGCCTGGAAGGTGAGGACGTCTGCCAGGTCAGCACCCAGGGTGCGGTACAGCTGCTGTACCGCCTGCCCGGCCACGAGGTACGCACCGCCATCCTGCACCGCCGCCGCCTCCACACAGCCGCCTCCGTCCGTCTGTAAGGCCACCTGTGTGCCCCTGCTGCTGCTGCTGCTTACGTCACCAAAGAGCAGGCGGAAGAGTGGCGCTGCAAGGGAGGGAGGGAGGGGTGGCGCACCACGCCTCAGCTTTGGAGAGGTGCGCTCAACAGCTGGGGGGCCTTGGAGCGACGCAGCATCAACCAGCAGCCCACACGTTCAGCAGCCCAGCATCATGGCAGCGGGACCAACAGAAGGTTTGGCCACACGGAAGGATCTGTGCAGCTCTGGAGCGGCAGCCTGCCACACAAACGCACCGGGGAAGCGGAGGCGCGGCTGCTGCATGTCAGAGTGGCTCAGGCGGCGGCGCAGCTGGGCGTCCTCCCGCCCTGCCCCGCTGGACTCCCAACCCTGCCAGGGCCCCGTGGGCGACAGCTCTCCCGACGGCGCAGCGGCCAGCCCAAGCAGGGACTGAATGGCGTCGGCGTCCCGCTCGAGAGGCTTGAGCGGCGATGGCGCCGCCGCCGCTGCCGCCGGCATGGCTACTGCCTCGGGCCGCGTGCCTGCAGCGCGCACACAGGTGCAGCTTGGATGCATCAGCGAGATGGGAGAGGGCGCGAGGGCGTGTGGGAGCGCTCAGCATGCCGTGATTCTCTTGATGCAGCAGCAAAAAAACTCCCTGGAGCACAGCCCTGCCCGCAGCTGCACCCCAGACACTTGCCTGCCTGTGAATTTGCGCGATCACGCTGCATGGAGGGCGCAGGCAGCTGCGCGGGGTGCGTAGCGTGCCTGTGTGCAGTTGCAGAAGCAGTCGCCTCAGCCAATCACTGTAACGAGGATGGAGTCGAGGATTGGCGATGGCCTGTGTGTGCTGTGGAGCAGTGTCCCCGTCAACATGGCACTCGTTCAAACTTTGCCTCCCCAATTGCCACCCCAAGGGCCACCCATGTAGCCAGCAGAGCTCGCTGGGAGGCAGTTGGATTAAAGCGCCATCGAGCTGAGAAGACCGCCGGCGTCCCCAAGCTCCCACTCCCCGCCGCACATGTGCATGCCGCCGCTGCCGCGACAGCTTGCTTATTGCGCAATGTCAAGTTGAATAATTGCATGATTATCATAGTGACTATAAAAATAGACAACATGGCAGTAACAGTTCAAAGAATGGCAAAGAGGGAATCAAACGACGGGGGGGTCCCACTGTGCAGTGATGGCGCCGCCTCTCCGGGCTACAGGTGCAACACTCGCGACACATGCAGGAAGCCGTTCTGCACAAAGTCCGCCACCTGCGCCGCAGCAGGAGGCAGGAGACAGAGCAGTGGACGCCCAGGCGTCAGCCACCACTGCGCCGGCATGGCGGTGCAGACGGCATGGCGCATGGTATGCATGCACCCACCAGTTTATTAAAGGCCTCTGGCTGCTCCAGGTAAAGCCAGTGATTAGCCTTCTCGAAAAACACGGTGTGAGCGTTGGGCACCAGCTTGCCCACCGCCTCAGAACCATACCACGGAAACACCGCGGACTGGCGGCCCACTGCGGAGACAGAGGCGCAGCCACAGCACGGCCACAGCAGGGCGCCAGGTGAGGACGTGAGGGAGGGGCACAGTGCAGCACAGGAAGGAATGGCGGCGCCATGCGAGTGGGGGGGTGTGGGCAAGGTATGCAAGTGATGGCAGGCTTCGAGCTGCGCTCCTGTGGCCCCTTCCAGCACCTGGCATTCCCACTACGGCTGCCCCCAACCATGCCAGGCTGGGATCCAGAGGTGGTCCAGCCCAGCCCATCCAACCACCAGCATGCCCACCTATGTTGAGGCAAGGTATCTGGATGCGCGGCAGCAGCGGCCGCCAGTCGATGGTCGTGTGATCGGCCATCAGCTGGCCCAGCGCGGCCGGGTCTGCAGGCGGGCAGAGCAGGGCCAGGCAGGCAGAGGCGACACGCCGGTTGGAACCGCACACCGCCCCCTCACACCTCACGCAACACCCGCGTGCACAGCAGCAGGGCCGCCACCTGCCCGGCTCTCCCAATCTGCACCGTGCACCACACAGACACACAGCTGCGCAGGCAGGGGCGCACACATCGGCAGGCAGGCAGGCGCCCACCCGCGCGCAGCGTCTCCTGCTCCAACACCCGCACCACCTCGGCAGCCAGCGGCAGGCTGGTGCAGAAGCGGCCGTTGTCCCGGGCAAAGCCGGGGAAGTCCATTTCCACCTTGCACTGCAGGCGGGGCGACGGCGGCAGCAGGGCAGGCGGCTGTGTGGCTCGAGGGCCGTGCAGGGCGGCCCCACGTGCGCTGGAGGGCTGCGGGTGCGCGCGGCGCCCGTGGGGCCGCGCAGCGCAGCGCACCCCTGCAGCATTGTGCGCTTCCCACCTGCAGGCGGGTGAGGGAGGCCAGGTCGTAGCAGCCGGTGGAACCCCACTTCCAGTCTGGGGCCGTGTTCTGAAGCGGCGCCTGGTCCACAAAGACCGCCTGCATGCGAAGTGCAGGGCCGCGGTGTGTGTGGAGGCACCGGGGACGGCGCCGGCCGGAGCGGGATGCACAGCACGGGGGCGGGGCATGCAGTCTGGCACGCGCTGGCTGGGGGCGCCCCGTGTTGGGCGCTGCTGCAAGCACGTGTTTGGCAGCAGCGCATTCGAGCTGGCCGAGCCACTGCCACAGCCGTGCAGCTTAAGGCAGCAGTTTGCGGCAGCGTTGGGCAGAAGCAGCTGGCAGCCGTGCTGAGCCGCTCCACCTGCTTCAGCCGCGCCTCCCCAAACAGCTCTATGTAGCACCAGATTACGGCGGCGCCCATGCTGCGGGCGGGGCAAGCGGCCCGCGGCGGTGTTGGGGAACTAACAACAGGCTAGAGGGTGCTGGCAAGGGCAGGTGGAGGCTACCTGGTGCCCACGACTGTCACATCCTGCAAGTCTAGCTCGGTCAGCAGATCCCGCAGGTCAGCTGCCAGCCGGGCGATGCGCAGGCCCTGCAGGGACCAGATCCAACAGCGCCATGGTGGCGTGCCGGGGGACGATAACCACAAGCCGCAGAGGGGCCTGGCAGTGACACGCAGCAGCAGTAGCGGTGGCGGGCAGGCGGGCAGCGCGGCAGCGCTTGCCCAGCTTGGTCGCCCGCTCTCGCCGTGGCAGCGTAGGTCGAAAGTGTAGACCGTGCACCCCGCGTTTGCCAGCGGGCGCGCATTCAAGTCGAAATAGTGGCGGGAGCCTGCGGCAGGAAACGGCCACCAGTGTGAGGCGGGTGGCGGCAGGTGGACGGCACCAGGGAGCATCCTGCAGTCCACTCACGCTCATCTCAGCACACTCACCGCTCCATCCGTGCACGAGCACAACGACGGGGCCGCCCAGCCGCCCGTGCCGCTCCCAGGCTATTTTTACGCCATCGGTTGTGGTGATGAACGTGTTGTTGGGTGGCACTGCTGCGTCCTCGGGCCCTTTGCCAGGCACATACTTGAGCAGCGACTGCATCGCTGAGCGCTGCTGTTCGTCAATGTCGCCCCGCCTGGCCGCCTGGCCCCAAAAGCGCCCGAGAGGGAGGAGGTGGCGATGCAGCGCGATGGGCGCCTGCGTTCCAACCCCAGCAAACTGGCAGCGACAGGCTGTCACCAGCTGGCGAGCGGACCTGGAACGCAGCTCGTTGCCGCAGAGCTCTGATGAGTACATAATCTGATGACCCACTCCACTTCAATGTCAGCATTTGTTACAGGACACAAAAGCGGGAAGCAAGCAAAAGGCCCGGGGATGCAGCGGGGTATGGCGTGGAGAGGCAGCAGTGCCGCCACCGGCAGCAGCTGGGAGCAAGGGAGACGCAGCGGAGGACGTCAGCATGCTTCAGGGGGGGAGAAGGAACGGGTGAAGGGGGATATGGAGAGGTGTGTGTGTGGTTGGATGTGTTGGGGGGCCAAGCGAGAAAGTTGCTAGTGAGGGCGCCCGCTCCAAGCTAGCTGGGCCGGAAAGGGCAGGCGCACCGTCCAAGCGGGGGAGCAACACAGATGGTAGTACTAATGCAAATCATGAAGCCATGGCAATCGTGACCAATAAACGTCGATTAAAACTTGGCGCAGGAGCGAGGGGCGGACGAAAAAGCCGGCCTGCGGTGTACAGCCTGCTTGCACGGTGCGGGACACGGTGCGGGCTTGTGGCTCATCCCAGCCACCTCACCCGCTTCACTTGGCCACGGCAGCAGACATGGTGGCGACTGTGACGGGGCTCTTCCGCCAGTCCACAGCCGGCTTGATGAGCTCGGACTTGACGCGATCCTTGTACTGCAGCAACGCAGGGGTGCGGTACAGGGGGGCGGTGGCAAGGGTTGCACGTGCCTCAGGCAGGCGAGGCTGCAGCTGCGGGCGGCCTACACGGCGGCGCGGCCTCGCTGCCGCAGCGCGAACAAGACAGAAGGGGAAAGGAAGGAAGGGAACTCACGTCAATGGCAAAGGTCAGCAGCGAGTCGATGAGGCCGTCAGAGAGGAAGTGAGGCTCCAGGCCCAGATCCCTGCAGGCGGTGGCGTGTGTGTATAGGTGTGTGTGCGGTTGTGGTGGTGGTGGGGTGGGGCGGGGTATGGTGCGGTGGGGTTGTGTGTGGGGAGTATAAGGGTTTGTGGGCTTGTGAAAGGTGCACGCCATCGGCTGGAGCCGCTCTGTGAACGGCAGCCACTCACCGCAGCTTGGTGCACTTGGCGTTGTCTGCAGGAAGGGGAGCAGGGGGGGGCAGGGACACCGTGAGGAGGTGCTGGTCGGCGCATGCGGTTGGCAGCGGCGCCAGGCCAGGCACGCAGCCCCGCCTGGCAGCGCCCCAGGCTGCTGCTTGCCCCTCCTCCCTGCTGCCGCTGTCCCCTCCCTGCTGCCACACTCACAGTAATGATCCTCGGCCTCCACACGAGGGTTAGGCACGGTGATAGTCTGCACACACACACACACACGCAGAGGAGCATGAATGCAGGTGAAGCCACAGGCGCGGGTTGAGGGGCGGCAGCGCGCCGCGCCGCTACGCCGCGGCCAACCGACGGCGCCAGCCCCAGCTGCGCCCGCCAAGCCACTGCT